ATAAGTAGTATGTACACGCAAGTAAAAGACTTAGGTCAGTAATCTTATCTTAAAAAGAAAATTTACATATACTTGCATTTTCATCATCCCGACATGGCATACGTCTAAATGACATAATCAGGTTGGCCAATTTTCGCAACAACAATGCATTTACACGTACGCATTTTGTTTTATTTACTACTCAACCTGAATGCGCTCAAAAGGGCGGTTCTTTAACACGCGAAAACTTGACGCAGCTTCGGCCTCGGCGCACAACGGGCACAACTCGCCTGCGGGGTGCCTGAAGAACATCATGTGCCTGTCGCGCTCCTCGCGGAAGACGGCGACAACGTGGAGCGGCATGGGGGAGCGGCGCACCAGGTCCTGGCAGTCTGCGGAGACAAAGAAAGGGGTCATTGAGTTCTCAACGGCCGATGCCAACGAGAACGCAGGCGACGTAGGCGATGCAACTTCTCACCTCGAAAGCCCGAATATTCGCTGACTGAGTCAGACCCACACCCGGTGCTGTCCATGAAGACGATGACGGCGAGCTTGGGGATGGCGGCGGCGGAGAGAGGGGAGAGGGTCACGGTCGGCTTGTGGAGCCCCAGGAGGCGGAGCGAGCGCAGGTTGGGAAGGCCCGCCAGCGCAACCCCCAGCGACCCCACGCCCGAGTGACAGGACAGCACGAGGTGCTGCAGGCTGGTGAGCCCGGCCGCCCCCAGGGATCGCACAGCCCCGTCAGTGCAACGCCTAAGCTCAAGACGCTCCAGGGGACTAGGGCATGACTTCAACAGCGCGGCAACCTTGTCCTGAAAACGACGGAACGCTCAGTCAAGCTGAAGTAGCAGGCAGCAGCCCAGCTGCACATCCGGCCCCACGGTAGAGGGCGACTAAGCGTACCAAGTAGTCGTTCTTCAGGAAGACGGTGAGGTGCTTGAGCCTGCTCATTTGCTGCAGTCCCCTCACGTCCCGGTCTCCATCGAAGGTCAGGGTGAGCCGCTGTAGCCCACTGGCAAAGGAGTCCAGGAGCGGCAGCAGCTGTGGCGAGTCCAGCCTCAGGTGGTGCAGCGTCCCCCTACAGAAATCAAGATGGCAGATTAAACCAGCACTATGGTTAGTGGAGAGGGGAGGAGGGATGGATTGTTATATTAAGCAATTGCATCGTACTCGTGCGACAGGAGAAGCGAGCGGAGAACCACGAACAAGGAGGAGTCAGGCTCACGCTGTTCTTCGTCCTCCACCCAGTGAACGTCGTCCAAATCGAAGTGGTCGTCGAAAGGGCCCTCATTATCGTTATCATCGTCGTCGAATTCGTTCTCTTCGTCCACGAGGTGGTCCTCTTCGCCCACGACATGGTCCTCTAGGCCCACGAGGTGGTCCTCTTCGCCCACGACGTGGACCTCTTCGGCTGCGACGTCGCCCACTTGGCCTTGTGCGTTGTCCACTTGGGCTTGGATATCATCTACTTGGCCTTGCAAGTCGTCCATCAATTGGTCTCCAAAATCGTCCACTGCTCCGCCTTGGAAGTCGTTCACTTCGCCCTGAGGGTCGCCCACTTCGCCCTGAACATCGTCGGCATGGCCCTGGCCCTGGAAGTCGTCCACTTGGCCCTGGAAGTCGTCCTCTTGGCCCTGGATGCCGCCCGCTTGGCCCTGGACGTCGTCCGCTTGCCCCTGGACTTCGTCCACTTGGCCCTGGACTTCGTCCACTGGGCCCTGGCCGTCATCCACATGGCCCTGGGCGCCGTACACTCCTTGGACGTTTCCGTCTTGGTGTTCGATGTCGCCGCCTTCGATGTTAACGATGACGTCGTCATCCTCCTCGGCCTCGTCGTCCTCGGCTACGGCCGGGAAGTCCTCCCAGTCATCAGCAAATGCCAACTCAACGGTGTGCAATTTCGACAGCACCTCGTCCTGAGAACAGTAGACCACAGTAAAACAGACTTCGAAACGCATGGTGCAGTACTGTAGAACCTCGACACGTTGATGGCACAGCGTCGGTTTCAACTGCGCTGGCCGCTGCGCTGCGGTAGTCAGTTCTCTTCTCTCCGCCTTTCGGCAGGCGGGTCGCGTCAGGTCAGTTTCACGGACGAACTTACCTGCGGCCACATGAAAGTACACGGCTCATAATAGCCAGCGAAGGTCAGTCGCAGCCTCTGTAAGGAGGGGACATCTCGCAAGAATATGAAGCACAAATCCAGCCCTCGGTTTAGTCCCGCGATCTCAAGACGCTCCAGGCGGGGTCCAAAATCATTGAGGATCCTGAAGCAACAATAAGGGCTTTCGAAGCTCACTTCCACCGAGTTCAAGGCGTTCGTTTCAGGAAATCTACAACGGAGATCGATCGATTACAGATCAGTCACAAAGAGAGAAATATGACACTGGCGACAGCCTCCAACTCCCCACCTGGGAAACTTCACGCAAATATCGTCGTAAATATCAGAAGAACTACGCACGATACGTAACGTCAACCGAGTAAAAGGCGGCGTGAGCCTCAAGAATCTTGACAGGTCTCCCATTTGTCTGAATCGGTAGAAGGCACCCTTCCGCCTCCGCCACAGTGACGAGTGCTCCCTGATCAGAGCGGCCAGCCGGGGGCTCGCCTCCCCGACGGCCCCCAGGTCCTTGGCCGACAAGTGGGAGAGCACCTGCACCAGCGGCAGGTCCGGCAGCGACAGCAGCGACTGTGAGCAGACAGTTTGAAAACATTCAGGTGGGCTCACAGACCCCTTCCTTTATTGTAGTTATACTGCCTGCGTGCATGGAAAGCTCGGTCTGACTTCGAATGGCTTACCTTTTCCAGCTGAAAGTGCACAAACATGGGGCGAAAAGCGTCGCATAGTCGCTGCAGCTCCATCTGCTTTGCCGAAAAGTCAGGTGCATCTCCTGCGGCCTCCCCTCGCTTCCCCCTCTCGAGAGCCTCCTCCACCTGCTGCAGCTGAGCGACCGCCGAGTCCAGGTCGTGGTCTAGAGCCTCCGCCACCTGCCGCAGCTGGAGGACTGCCCCCCGCAGCTGTTTCACCACCTGCCTTCCCGCGTCCACGTCCCGCTGCAGCTGTTGCACCCTCGCGTCCTCTAGTCGAGGCGCCTTGCAGGGTGGGGACCCGTCCCCGTCAACGTCCGGGGTCTCCATCATGTGGATCACGGAGATTGCGTCGGGGAGGTCAGTCGGGCTCGCCGGTCAAGTCCTCAAAGAATGTATGCTCCCTGCTCACTCATCTCTTGCTAGAAGAACTGTCAAATGTCAACTTATTTTGCAGACAAAAATGGGAATATATGTATGTTGCACTTCTAGGAGACTCAACAATCAAATAGACGTCACTAATTATTTGTCGAAAAATATGTCACTTTGACAAAAATGTGGCTCATAATTTGACACTACAGTGTTGAGGTTAACCTAAAATTTTTAAACGTTTGTTAAAATACACACGCTGTTATAAATAGGTTGTGACTATAAACCAAATCACTTAGCAGCTGGGACAAAAAAATTGCATCAATATGCTGAATCAGACTTCAGCACTCAAAATAGCACTGTAAGATGTTCCCTAGATTGCTCCAGAATGGGCAGGTTATGTTACTACAACAAACAAATGATAACGTTTAAAAATTTAAAAACATTCTTTTTCAGACAAAATACCAAAAATAGTGAGGCATGTGGAGCACCAGGAAGGAGTGATAAAGGGTCAGGGTTTCCCTACAGCCGACACTACATTCAGCTAACCAGAATAGTACGTACCTACGCGAGCTGCTCACCGTGTGCGTGCGAAGCGCCGTACAGGTCGGCAGACCCGCCGGGCGTACGCGCTCTCTGACGGCCCGCCTCGCAGGTGCCAACGGGCTGCGCTGGCTGGAGTTGCTAGAGTCGGGGTCGGCAACTCGGGACCCCTAAACTCTTAGGGGGCTCCAATACCTCCGGGTACTGGGTAGGTAGACTGGGGCCTGCCTGAAGGAAGGGCGTGCCTCGCGATGCTGGTGGAGTTAGTATGGACTACGTGGCGAGCGCGGCGGGTACGCGTACTGTATGTGTAATCAGACAGGGTTCTCGACATGGAAAGGGTGCAGTGTGAACATGGTCGTAAAATGAGACCCATCTATGTTGGATAAAAAAGAAGCATACGTGCTATAGCTATTTATTTATTATGATATAATGGGGGAACACATGCAACGGCACAAATTGCCTGGGAAATGTATAATATATTTCCATTACTATGACTGTAAACTGAACAAAAAGCATAGAACCAAAAAGCGCTATGGCGTGGCATTATGCCTTTTGATTATATGTTTTAAATTCTTTGCCCTGGCAGTCACGATCTGTGAGTAAGTATTGCACATTTGGCAAATCACGTCAACGGAAGAGTTCAGAGAGCATTGGAGGGTCCGTCGCTGCAGCAGACAGGCGTCGACGTCCTTGCAGGGGAGGGCGGGCGACGGTCGCTCCAGGACGAGGCGCCGCAGGGCGCGTAGGCCGCACTCCGCGAGGCTGGCGCCCAGGTCGGGGAAGTAGAAGTCGCCGTGATCGGCCTCGCTGACGCCGCAGAAGATCTCCAGCTCGAGCAGGGACGAGCGGTGGGCGCGTATCAGCGACAGCATGGTGTCCTTGTGCGCGACTTTGAAGGACACGCCGAGCCACTGTAGCACGCCGTGCTGCGACGGGGGGAAGGCCACGGGCGGGCCGCAGTACAAGCTGACGTTGAGGCTGTGGAGCCGCGACATCCGCTCCACGCACCGCAGCTGGTTCTCCCTCGGGTACGTCACGGCCAGCGCCTCCAGCTGCAGCGGCAGGTCCGGGACGTCGTCGCACATGTCTTCGTCGAACGTGACGAGCAGCCGCTTGAGCGACGTCATTCGCTCCACCTCCTCCATCACGGCCCTCGGCTTGACCGCGTCCAGGATCTCGAGTTCTTCCAGTTGCGGCGATACGACGCGCAACAGCTTCTCCGACCCAAGGCCCGTTAGGTTCTTCAGAATGCGTATGTTTTCACAGCGCCGTCCAACTTGAAGAACGAGGTTTACATCCAAACGACCGTCGTCGAGATCTTGCTGGTCGTCGATGGAGAGGATGGAGAGCTTTGGTTTCCCCGCGTCAGCCGCAGGGAGCGCGGGAACAGCCGCGTCGGCGACCTGGAGGGACAGCAGCTCTCATTAAACACAACACCGCATACAACGGTACGGAGGGAGAAGAGCCAGCCTTCCATAGCCGGGCCGGTAGTTTACCTTCTCCAACTGGCCTTCGGCCCGCAACTGCAGCAAGAGGAGGCGAAGCACATTGCTGACTCGGCCGAGCTGCACAGAGGCCTTCCAGGTGGCCCCGCCCTCCTCCGCAACGACGGCGCACTTGTTGAGGTTGAGCAGGCGGAGGCTGTCCTCCAGCTGCTGCAGCTGCTGCTCAGAGAAGTCCGCCGCGGTAGCCGCATCGCCTGTCGCCCCTCGCTGCAGCTTCTCGAGGTCCCTCTCCATCTGCCGCAGCTGAGCGACCGAGGTGTCCAGCTGGTGGTTGAGCGCCTCCACCGCCATGGGCACCACCTGCCGCAGCACCTGCACCAGCTGCCTCCCCGCGTCCACGCCGCGCTGCAGCACCTGCAGGTGCACCTGCACCCTCGCGTCCTCCATCCTGGGAGCCTTGCGGGGTGGTGCCCCGTCACTGTCCGCGGTCTCTAGCATCCGGATGATGAAGATGTTGTCGGGGAGCAGGCCATTAGGCTCGATGGTGAGATCCTGTAGGCAAGCATTGTGATCGACTGCTTCAAATTGTTAACATCTAAACAAAATTTCATAGGAAAAGAGAACCTTCATGTATGGTGGAGATTACGATACACTCCACCAAATAAGTACAATGTGTTGAGATATTGTGGCAACCATTAATCTTTTAAGCTTTAATCAAATCGTAGTAACCCGACACAATGCACACTTTTTCAAAATAAATATACAGACCTTGTCACAAGTTGGGCACTTCCTTTTAGCCAATAATAAGCTGGAATTATGTGTGCATGCGAGACAGATGGTGTGTCCACAGGACAGGATCTTTGGTCTATGGAGGTCCAGGTCATATGGTACAAGACAAACTTCACACTGAGGTGCCATCTAAAACAAAGGAAAAGGAGGAGTACTGCTATTATAAGATAATATTTGGAGACTGGTGTTTCTTGTAATAGTAATATATGTAAACAACTTGAAATGCTACCGCAATCAAGCAGTCATAAATACATTCTAAAGCGTAAAAAAAAAGCTACTTTGACTTACATCAGTAAAATGAGTCGATCTGTAGGTATGCTTTGCTATTCAGCACGTTGAGTGTTGAGTTTCTAGTACCGGTAATAATTAATTTCTCAGCCAACTAATCTTATTGCCCGAGCCACCAGAGCCAAAACTCCGGGAACGAAACACTGTCAAATCCAAATCCACATACACTCAAGCATACACCCTAACAGGTTCGTCGACAAAGAAGTGCACTGCAAGATGTTTTGAACAATCACTATTTCTTCAAGGTAAGTTAAAAAATAAAACTGGGCGCATTCGAAGGTTAGAGGTAAATCAAAACACTAGGCGCCTGCCGCCAAATGAACCTAACAACTGAGTATGAGAAATATACATATTCTACAATTCCTACAAGCTTAATAGTAACCGTTAACAAGGTATTTTACCTTAATGTATTCACTATAGGTCGAAAATTTCTAGGAACATACAAATTTTTCGTAGAAAAGTTTGCAGAATAGCTTTGAAGTTATTAGTTGCAGATGCTTGTGACTGTACCTTTCCAAAGTTTTCTCATACTATGCTTGTAGCCAAAAACTAGCAGCCGACGCCCAACGCATTCAAAACTAGCTCCAGTCTAGGACTGTCTTTGGTCGAGTCTTACTTTACTGCCGCGTACGCAGCTGCTCTAGCGATTTGCCGCGTCTTTATTGGATACTCTCTTTGCTTGACCCAAGTCATACAAATATTGTTTGCATTTGAGAATAAAATTATCTTCTTGACCGACACATCGGAGCATCGGCTTTGGGCCGTTTTTGGTTCTATGGGCTCGGCTTTTCGCTCGAAGCTCGCTACGCTCGCGTCTCGCAAAAAGCCTCGCGGTAAAAGCTCGTTTTAGTTTACTCCGTTTTTGGTCCAGCTGATAGATACAGTTGCATATTCATTTTGAACTGCTAAATCTCACACGATTGAAAGAGGTTAATGTTCTGCTAATCTCTTTTCCTGCCCGGGGGCCGTGGCCGTCGCTAGGGAGGGGGAAGTGTACTCCAATGCAACCAACTGCGCAATCCCCATACAGCACATTGTGCACATCGAATAGCCACATCACCTTTCATTTTAGCCTACAATTTATATTTTCCCTACATAACTTTACAGGGATCTGTTTAGTAACGTCCACATTTCGGCCTTAATTTTTTTTTGAATGTACAAATGTTGAGAACAATTTTTTGACATTTCAATGTTGTCAGCTTCAGGGGGCTCACGAGCTGGGCCCACCGGGCGGACACCCTGCCAATGTTAGCTATGGCCGAGTTTGTTTCAGTTCCAGTCTCAGCTTTAGTTCTATCGACTCGACCAACAACACAAATGGAAACAGAAATTATATTGTTTCATTGAAATGGCACAAAAAACTGAAGAATGGAGCTGTCATCCCGATCTGGAAGTCGAATGGGATCTTTTCACTGAGAACTGCAGACGAAACACTCGTACAGATTTTAATTCTGAACTCTGGATGAAATTTTGGCAGCAGAGTAATGTGAGCTCTCTTGCTATCATGAACTCTGTTGATAATTATTACATTGTTCAAACTTGTTTTATTTTATTCTTGTAGGTACCATCAAAACCGACCATCAACCTTGGTCATGCAGAACCCTTCCTGCAGGACCAAGGGTTTCATGAAGCCATGGAGTGTGATGATACTGAATTACCGTCTATTTCCAACCCACCCAGCGCCAACCTGGTCGTAGAAGGTTGTCCCCTGTCACTGATCTTCTGCTTAATTTCAATCCAATATTTATTAAGTTGTTCAATGAATGATGAATGTAAATGAAAGAACTGTTTTTCTTTATTTTAGACAATGTGGCAGCACTGACTGATTCTCAACAACAGCAAATCAATGCTATTGTATCGGACCTTCTTGACGTTTTTGATATGGCCAGTGAAAGTATTCCCGAAGAACTTAAAGATGATATAAAATTATTGCCCAGCCATGCAGTCTCATTGCTCTTCAAGGAACTGAGTTTGCGGCTCTCAGATCAGGGCTTTTACTCAATCTGTAGTGTGCTCAGTGAGGACACAAATCCAGATTCTTGGGTAGATATAAGACTTGTATTTCAAGAAATTTTCCTGCCTATGGTAAGCCCTGTTACATTATCTTTTATTGAATCATCCTGTTCCGTACTTCCTCTAAATACTTGTCATGTGTTTCAGCTATCTGGTGAAAAGCATAATACTCTTGGAGAAGAGGTAAAAGCAGGATTAAAACAATTAACAGAACGTTTTCCATCAGAATGTGTGTCACATATGCTAATACCACTTCTATCTTATAATTTAACGGCACCAACACAATTGGAATTGCTCTCGGATCTAATACCTGCTCTCCCAAAGTCGGATTTCTCTGGTTTATTTCGGTAAGCTGATTTTGTGTGGTAATGAATGTGACTTCCACACTCTAAATTTAATATTTTGGGGTTTGGCCCCCAAATTCCCAGTCGAAAGTATTCCTATTTTGATTAAAAAAAGTTTATCACTAAATCCTACTCCACCATGCATTACATACATACCTTATGTAATTCTACCGCAGCTGTATGTATCTATCTAGCATGAATGTCTGTTGTTGTTTGTTGCAGTGACTTCATTTTACAATGCAAAGCACCATTAGAAGAGTTGAAAATTTTGGTTTTAATCTGCTTTATGTCTACCTCTGGAGTTGATGATGTTGTACTGAAGACTGACTCTCCTCTATTAAAATTACTACCTGTACTTTCACTCTCAGCAAGGGCACTTTCAGCAAATGAGTCATTTGCCAGCTTGATATTAAGGATAATACCAGCCCTGAGGTGTAGCACTTCACCCCAAGTACAAAATGAAATTACAGCTATTGTTCAGCAAAGTGCCTCTTTCAACAAGCAGGCCATGCTGAACGCATTGAAAGGTTGAGAGAATTAAATTCAGATAACTTTAAAATGTTGGTTTATTTCTTTAAAACCTACAAATAAAAACACTATTCTGTCTTTCTTGTGATTTAAAAATATTTACATTAAAAACATAAATACAGAATGATCATGCCACATAGAAAATACTGTAAATACATTTCATTATATTTAACAATAGTAATAGTATCATGAGACCAAGGATTTTTGTTTCTCCGATAAATAGTAAACACTGTGCATGTGATCTGGTGAACATGTCTAAGCAATTTCAATACCGTATTTAAAAAAAAAAAACAGAAAGTGTTGAGCAATAGGTCTAGGATTTATATTTGGCACACCTTATGGAGAGAGGTGGTACATTGGTACAGACAATCAACCTGTACTTTTACTTTTCTATCACAGACTACATTTTTATCCAAAATAAAACCAGCAGCATAAAAAGATGGCTTCAATACCTTCTCACACAGCTATCCTTAACATGAGATCTAACATAAAAATACAGTACAATCATGAAAAGCGCATATTACCTAATACTGTACCAGGAAAGTTGATAACTAAGACAAAACTATAACATTTCTAAAATTATGTTACTCAAAACTATGAGGTCAATAGGACAAAATACAAAATACAAAATACTGTATAAAAATACTTCATTCAACAGAACAACACGACAAA